TCACCTCTGTCTCGGCCTGGATATTTTCCCAGTTTAGTATTTTTCTCCTCAGTGTTAATGTCTATTACAGCTGGCTGGCCGTCTCTTTGCCATTGCCAGTTTAGGTAGTCGGTATAGTGTTCACGCGGGGGCTCCCGCTGTGGTAGCTGTCTCCACCATGTGGCCGGGATATCCCCCACCGGCCAGGAGGGGAGACAGGGCTGTGCCCCGGGCCAGGCATCTCCCCACGCCAGGGATGCTTGCCTTGCGGCTGGTTGGCTCTGTGTTGCGCCAATTCACGGCGTCATGCTGCAGGAAATGGCGGCTGATGCTCGGAGGCCGCGTGTAGGCTGGACCCAGTCCTCTCTGCCCGCCCGCCCGCCTCACGGTCAGCTGCATGCGGGTATCAGGTGGGTGTCGGGGCTTTCCCCCTTTCAGATGCGGCAGGATTTGCTTTTTTGAGCGGGATTGGGTCCTGTATGGTGTTGTTCCAGGCTGTTTGCTGCTGGAGCCCATGTGGATGGCATCCAGCCGGCCCGGCCCTGCCCTGGTATATTTGTTTTTAAAACTTACTAACCTTGGGTGGAAAGTCGAGTGGCGCAGTGCTTACAAGAGGCATTACTCTGTTAACACACAAATACATTTTTATGTTTTTTTTTGCAGAATCAATTACCAGGACAAGTCATGCAGTCACCAAAAGACTTGGTAATGACATAACCGGACAACCAGAAGAATTCTGGGAATGTTAGCGAAGGGGCAGTTTACTAATTCTGGATGCATGCGGGTGGCAATTTAAAGGTGATGATAGCAAGCATTGTGGTTGTAACTCAAGTTGACTGCCTAGTAATTTTCTCACTATCAGAGTGAATTTAAATATAAGTGCTCTCCCAGTTGAACCAGTTTGTCCAGATATGAATTCTTTGTCTCCCTTTAGTTATGCAAGAAATGATTCATCAACTCCCCCCACCTCCACCAGCACTCAAACTAAACTTGAACTTTCTAACTGCTTAGCAACTAACAGAAGAGATAAGACACGCGTGTGGACTGCCACTAAAAATATCCACGTGCAAATAAGCAAACACCTGTGTGTATTATGAACCAAATAATGGGCTGCAGACATCATACAATCAGGTAACAAGTCACCGTGCAAAAAAAAAATAAAAAAAAAAATTCTCCTCCATTCTATCATTCTATCCATTCTATCATAAAGTTTTGCATGCAGACAAACAGAATTCTTTGTGTAAAGCACGTTGTAAACAATGTAATTATCGGGTAGTAAAGGTCAGGTTCTGGTGCACAGGGGAATGGTTTCTTAAAAGGCTGCAAACAGAAAAACATTGCAAAAGTGATAAACACTACCTGGTATTTTGGATAGATGCCTCCAACCAATATTTAGACAATCATCAAGTGCACCCAAAGTGAACTATAGTTACTAATGGTAACCTTTGTTTCAGTTGCCAACGGTAGATCATCTTCTTTAGAATGTAGTCTAACAGTTGGAGGACCTCTGTCTAAGAGCGGTTTATGAGATATTTGGTGGTTCATCTCTGAATTTCTTGGATTTGACAATTTCAATTTGTAAAGATGGTTCCCTTAAGACAACTTTATTCAGGAATCATCTGCATCAAACTCCTTACTGAAATGGGATAGTCATCACCCAAGAGCCCTTAAACGAGGAATTCCGACGGGACAATACCTCAGATTGCGACGAAACAGCTCAGATCTTGAAGAATTTCAGATTAAAGCTAATTTTCTGAGGCAACAATTCAAAGAGAAGGGATACCTGAATAAATGCCTCAAAAGTGCGTTTAAAAGGGCACTTATGACAAATAGGGTAGACCTCCTGTCAGACTCCCAGAACCCCAAAATTCCCACAAAAATCCTATCCGGATTATAGGAACTTTTGACACTGGCTGGAATGAAGTAAAAGAGTCCCTTCAAAGATTTTGGCCTATTCTACTTAAAGATGTTCACCTAAAAGAAGTATTAGGGCCACAAATTACAATTACAGCTTGGAGAGGCAAAAATCTCCATGACATCTTGGTTTCCAGTCATTTTTCGGTCAAACAAAATCTCCATCCTACATGGCTGGGGCGCCAAATCCCCACAGGTACATACAGCTGTGGAAGGTGCGTAGCCTGTAGGTTCATCCTGAGGGACTCAAAGAAAGTTAGTGACAGTGAAGGCAAACAGTCCTTTCAAATCATGCACTTTTTCAATTGTAATTCTGAAGGTGTGATCTATCTCCTTACCTGCAGTTGCAAATTGATGTATGTGGGAAAAATGTTCCGGCCCTTTAAGGAACGCATCAAAGAACATGTGAGATGTACCAAAAATCGTCTGGAGACTCCAATCTCCAGACATCTCAAAGAGCACCATGGGGGGTCTTCAAAAGATATACGCTTCTGTGGTTTGGAATTGGTCAAGCGAGAACAAAGAAGGGGAGATTTTGACAAGATTATACGCCAAAAAGAATGCAGATGGATTTATAAATTAAATACGTTAAATCCAAGAGCTCTCAATGAAGGTTTTTCCTTCTCTCCCTTTATCTGAACTGATAATATATTTTTTGATGTGTTTTTCCTAATCTTTTCCTTTTTAATTAATTATTTTTTTTCCACCTTATTGCTCTATTTAATTAAACTCTTCAAATTTTGTCTATTGAACTCAGAATAAGTGATTAATTTATGTACACATTTTTGGGGGTTCCCATAACCCCTAAGATGTATGGTGATATGGACCTGTGTACTTTGCTGAGTATACCCATCTATACATTTTCCAACAATATTTCAATTTGTTCCGATTACATCTAAAGATCCCTCCATATTTTAATAAATGTGGAGGGATAGTTGCACCAGTCACTTCCCATGTGATGTAAAATTGACTAAACACGTAAATTGGTCATCTAATAAGTATACTTCTATCCTTTCCTCACGTTAACCAAATCAAAAGACATTCATCGCTATGGTATGACAAAAATGTGATGAATTGCAAAGGTGCCCTTAATGATACACTAAACTGAGTCAGTGATGTATCTATTTGATTAAATATGAGGCTTCATTTGTATCATACATTTGCCTATGGCTACTATGTTGCTTTGTAGCAATTTAGGTGTACTTGATGTATTACCTCTCTGTTTTGGTTTGGCTGAGTGACGTGCTACCACGCCCCTCCCCTCGCATCCCATTGGAGGGCAGATCGTGGGAGGTGCTGGGACTATGGCAGTTTACTCATTGACTGAGATAGTGCTGCGCCCCCTCTGAGTTCCATTGGGTAAGAGATCATGGGAGATAATATAGACGTGATGTTTCGTCCGTCGATCGGGGCGTCGCCACGCCCCCTCCGTATCCTATTGGCATAAGAATCTGTAGGAGGGTCCACGGATATGAAGTACTCCCCTTCTGGGCGGATCCCAGATATGGATTGGTTGTTTCTATCTTAAGGGATGGGCTCACCTCCCCTTATAATCAGCTCTCAGCACAGTATCCTGTTGCCAATGCAATTATTTTATTATGTCTTTTTCTAGACACTTTACACCTTTTCACTTTATTTCTTTTTTTCTTTATTGAGTCTCGTTTTTGTTTCTCTGTATGGTGCACTGACTAGATGTTATGATAGGGATAGATTTGAGGCTGCCTTGAAGTAGCAGTTTAGTTGAGCTTTCCATTGTGTGAGTCAGACAGTTAGTCCAGGGCAATCTAGGATTTTTGGTGGGTTCATTTGAGGGCCCCCCACCGATATCTACTGAGTATCAATATTTTTATTTCTCTCTCTATGCACTGCATGCCCTTGTGGGCAACAGTTACCGCTAGAGAGACTGAGCTATACAAAGTCTATACTGACAGTACCTATATGTAGATGGATGTGCTCCTGTTCTCTAAATAAGTGAGCATAAAACGTTTTGAATGCATCCTCTTTAAACTTTTTGCCTTTACTAGTGACTACAGTCTTTTGATCCCTTTAGTCGCACAACTGCTACCAGGCACCATACATATCCCTACCATTACAATTTTTTGGATTAATGTCAACTTTTTCGACATCTCTACTTTTTTGCCCCATAGAAAGGGCTTACTTATCTATACACCTATAGGGAACCATATGTATATGACCTAGAGACATTTAATTTTGATACATTTTCTTCTATGAGTAGTGTACTCTAGCTTACCTGCATACCAAGTTGGTGCATTGGTGCACTTATCTTTGGTAATTGTTCGACCATTCTCCAAGATTGGAGGATTTTTAAAATTTTCTAATAAAGGTTCATATCCTTTTTTTCCCCCCACTTTATGTTACATTGATACTAGGAGGTATATATTTGTGGAGGAGTATGAACTCCGCTCACTATATGTGAGCGGTTTTTCATCTCTTCCACTCTTTTTGTTTAGATTTACCTTGGGGTTAAGCCCCGTATACCTCTCGTAACCTTTATACAGGCCTGGGAACTGGTTCCTATAGCCCCTATCTCTTTATCAGGTTTATGAGATATATTTACACACAGAAGGGGATTTATGCAATCAGTTTACACACACCACAGATCGCTGTCTAGTGATTGTCAGCTTAGCTGGGCCTGAGGTAGAGAAAGAGAGTTTAGTCCATGTTGTAGACATAGCATTAACATACAACATGTACAACTTGGACAAAATAAACACAAGCAGTTCCAGGTGTCTAAATATACAGTTTTACTAACTACTGCAATTGTTCACTTCCTTTGGCTTCCAATATTTTTTCAATGCAGATGAC